TTTTCTTGATCACCTATCTCAAATACAGTGAGATGTAACCATTGAGATACTAAAAATGTTTTCTTGCAACAGGCACCACAAGCTAGGGTTAATTACATTGAAGATATAAACATAGATGAGTGCAAATCTGTCTTTATTGCTTAAAAAGCAGAATTACTGTGTAATATGAATTCATCACAAGGACAGTGAGTCAGATTTCCTGGGTGGGATCACAGTTTCGTTAGAATAATCATTCCAAAACTTGATTCTCAGCTTCCTCATTTCCTCAGCTGGCAGCAGCGGGCAACAGTCCAGTCTATGATTGGGCACAGGCAGTGGAACATTGTTTCATTCTGGACATTCCAAGATCCACAAGCAAAGCCACAAGAACAACCAGTAGCAATCATCCCTGCATGGTTGTGTGAGATAAAGATATCAGAGACCTAGGACCATAAGAGATAGAGCATCCCCAACTCTTCTCACTAGGAAGCTCATTCATATATGTAGGTTTTGTGGGGGCATAGAACTAAATCAATTTAAGGAGCTATCTTCTTGAAAAAAATCATTTAAATGAAAAAACTTGGAAAATCACTGTCTTTCAATTGGTGGTAAATACACTTTTGTGCTGGTTCTTCTTCTCCAAATACAAGGGGGCAGGAATGAAAAGATAAGATGGCCATATTCATGACCACATAATTGAAGTCCAAGTAGACTGTCATATATGGGAATGAAGGAAGAAATGACAACAAACAGAAACCCAGAGTCCTTCAGTAGCATCCTTAAGGTAACTGAAAATCAGGAAGGGATATCTATGTACCTGGGTCTATGGTTGTGATCTATGGCAGTCAAAGTCTGGTGTATTGGAAGATAGACGGTGGTGGGGTGGGGGCGCACAGAATCACAGTGCTTCTTACTCACAAATTCCCCTTATGAGTTACTCACCAGGTGGACAGGAAGCCAGTGTACCCGAGGCTTTAATACTAGTGCAGGAGAGACTCTTAGTCACAGGGGAGGGAGGATGCTCTGCAGGTAAGAGAATAGGGGTATTTCCATAATCTCTTGTTCTCACAGCTCCCTTTCTTAGTCATCCTATATCTTGGAGATATCGCTGTTTCTATGAGGAGGCTAATGACTTAAGTTTTTAAGACTTAATGTCTTCATATGTGAAGTCAAAATAATACTTGCACTTACCACATACAATGGCAATGAAAATTAAAATGGACTAACTTAAAGTTTTATATTACTCCTTTTCAAAATGTGTTCATAAATTACAGGTGCCACCCTCTTAGGCCTATTGACTATCAAAGAAAATGGGGTATTTAACTATGAGTTCAAAAAAGGATAAAGGAAGTCCTGAATTGTGGTTGATTAAATAAAGTCTGAGTCTTTGAATGGAGTAGAGATGTAATTATAATTTAGGAATAGGAGATTAAACATTGATTAAGCATAGTGTTCCCCCACCCCATCAGTTACCTAGACGACTGAGAGCTTCCTTGAGCTTCTTCATGACAGAGTCTAAGGTCTCCTCCATATTCACTGGGGCCATCAGTTGAAGAAGGGAGATGATGATGAGAAGGGAACAAGTTGTAGTCTTCATCTTTTGAAAGTCAGTGTCTTGTGGCTGGAGAAAAAGCCAAAGAAGATGAGAGCATTGAGCTCTGGAATAGCCAGCTGTGAGGGATAGGAGGAAGCAGTTATACTCTGTAGAGAGTAGGGAGGGAAGAACAAAGCAACCATGCTGCAATGTTCTAGTTGTTTGCTGAAGCAAAGAAGGTTCCCACAGAGCAGATTCACTCACAAAAGTCAGAAAGCTTTCCAAGGTCTGACCAAGCAAGGATGCTTTTAAACCCTGGGGGTTTACCAACCTGGCTACCCATAATTTAGAAAACACACAACCCTCTACCCCTGCCATGTAAATACTTTCTATATTTCCAAAGAACTTTGGCAGCTGAGGCGTAGTTTTTAGCAATTTCCTCTGAATTGAAATGTTCCCTCAAGGTCATGTGGAGAGGTTCTTGAGCTTCAAGTGGTAAACACTCCCCATGTCCGGAAAATCCAAAACTTGAGTGTACCCAAAGTGTTTCCAAAATGCCCCTACCTAATGTTACAGGAGCAGCTAACCAATTGATGCCAAAGGAGACTTTGACCAGCTGTGCTGCCTAGCGGAGAGCCTCTTACCTATTTAGCTGCTTGCAAGTTGTATAAAGAGCTCCAGGCCCCACGTTGGACACCAGCTGTCGTGATATCCCTGAAGACTGTACTGCAGTCAGGGAAAAAACTGATCCACAAAGAGACAAGAATGAAACTCGATCAGCCCAATTTTATTGTAACCTGTTGCTGGACCTGGACTTATAAGGGTATGGCCCAGATCATTTTACTTTAGCCATATTTAAGCACAGCACAATTTTGAAAAAAAAAGTATTCAGAAAACAATTAACTCAGTCCCAAATGCATTGCAATTTAAGTCATATTTACATTGATATTTCTTACAAAGTACATCCGGCTTCTTTTACAAGAATGGATACTGTTGACTCAGAGATAAGGCTGAAAGTTTAGGTCTAGGGAGTTTGACTGAGGTAAACATAATGTCTATGGGTGTCAGGATTGACCTGGTCCTAAGATAACATAGAAATCACTTAATCTGTTGTAAAGCACAAGTGACCTCACTCATAAAAGTGGGTTTTATGGTCTAACAGCAATGCTCAAGTTTTAGGGGGATAGGTCTTGGATAGGTAAAAGCATAAATTCTGGGAGATAGGCAGATCATGTCTCATCAGACAGGAGAGGATCACCAGGTTGTAAAATGACATCATGCCTATCATTCCAGGAAAAGCAGCTATACACCTCATTCCACTGAAGAGGTGAGCTGTGTGTTTTAACTTTCCTGGCTTCTCCAGTGCTTGCTTACCTGTGTGCACAAGTCCCTTTGCTCTTTAAAATCACCCATGCTCAGATGGACTTTTCAGTAGGTCTGTTGCTTTTGATTCACTCCTTCTCCTATAAGTTTCCCCTCACCAAGACACCTGTAAAGAACTCCATTAACTTTCTGATTCACTGAACTGGACTTAGATATATTTGTGTTGTTGATCCATTATCAGTTCTCTCTCAGAATGAATAGTCATGTGTGCCTTTTCTTCTGAGAAAAAAAAAAAAACTACACATAATTCACTTGATACGTGATCAGGGAATATGGTCATGAACTAAAGATGAGTTGGGATTCTGAAACATGCACCTGAAGCTGATTTCTAAAAGGGTAGACATCCCTGGCAGAAATCTTGATATAACTCCCTTTCCTCATATGATATGGGTTATATACCTTTTTGCTATGTCATGGATTGCATGGATCTTTCCTTGGATGATGAGACAAACAACCAAGGCTGTGTCTTCTATCCAGAGGAAGAGTCTGAGTGGGTAATTTGCAGGGAAAGATCTTCCTCTATATGATATGGAGTGACATGTTTGCTTGATGATTGGAGCCTACCATATGAGAACATAATTGACCCAAGAAGGTTAAAAACTTAGAACAATCTTTTTGATCCCTGAGAGTAAAAAGAAAGGGAAGAGAATATCCATAAGGTGGGTCTGAGGTAGCATAATCACGTCTATTTGTAGTAAAAAGTCATATCGTGGCAAGATGGCTGGTCAATGAGGGCTTGCCTTTGCAAGGCAGCAATTATAATTGCAAAAGAATGTTCTGCTAGCTTGCTGAGCATTGGCCTCTGGTTGGATAAAACAGAAAATGAGATATAGATATTAACTTATCATTGCTTATAATTGGCAAGATTCAAGGAAAAAGGGAGTCAAAGTTAGACCTGTGCTAAAAGCCCTTTCTGGAATTAAAAAACTTAAAATCCATGGGAAGAGTCAAGTAGTACAGAATAATAACCTGATGTAAAACTAACAATAAAGAAACAAAGACTTACAAAAGTGATGTTTAGCCGGCAGTGGTGGTTCACGCCTTTAATCCCAGAACTTGGGAGGCAGAGGCAGGCAGATCTCTGTGAGTTCGAGACCAGCCTGGTCTACAAGAGCTAGTTCCAGGACAGCCTCCAAAAGCCACAGAGAAACCCTGTCTCAAAAAAAAATAAACCAAAAACAAACAAACAAACAAACAAACAAAAAAACAAAAGTGATGTTTAGTGCCTAGTTCACGAGGACTATGTTCTCAGAAGAAACTTGTTTTAAGTGAATTAATCAGAGACTTATATATTTTATTGGGCTTTAATGACTGGCAAGTTCCATGATAAAACATGATTTTTTTCTTCAATTAGGAGAGGCTTTTGAGGATCTAAATCATGGAGAGCAGAATATAAATTAAAATTAAGGTACTGAAACACACACAGTAGGAGATTAGGAGAGGAAAATCATAACTACTGTTATGGAGGAAACCACTCAAGCCACTTCTCTGACAGAATGGGAAATTGGCCATAAAAGATCAAGGTCATATGAATTGTGCTGTAATTTTAAACCACAATATAAAGTAAAATAAGTAAAATAAAATGACTTTTCTTTTCTGGATGCAAGATTGCTGGAGACCAGAGAGGCCATTCACACTCAATTTCAAGGGTTTTATTTTCCTTAACAAAGTTGTTTCAAAAGCAGATGTATAGTGATGGATGTTGACTTGCCTGTCTCCTACTAGGAAATTATTACTTATTATAAAACTAAACACAAGCATGCAGGGTTGAAAGAATTTCAACAACTTCTAGTTCAGTACTTATTTTTTGTAGATCATCTTCTCCAATCATTCTTGTCGTGTATATTGTGATCCTTGCCATAGTCCTCTGCAATTTCCATTATTACTATTCTGTCTTTTCCATGCCAAGTCCTGGGAAGGAGCCTTGAGCTTGACATGAGACTTCAGAGCTGCCTTACCAATCAGAATGGTTATTATCTGCTGTCACTTGCACAAACCTGGGTGTTGTGCCATAGATTAGCACCTAGTTCTGCTTTGAAGGCTTCTGCTGTTCCCTGCTGCACTTCCTCTCTGGTGTTTAAAAGTTCAAGTGTAGAATTCAGGAACAATTATAACCAATGGTTTTTATTGACGGTGGTTGAGGGCAACTTTGACATCTGGGATGCGATCTCAGTATTTCCTGTTGACATCAAGTATGGCACAAGGCTCCTAGTTGTCTCTTTCTGACAGCTCCAGTGTTTGTTCATTCTCTGGGCTCTCATCTTCTTTGCTCCTTCCACATAAAATGATAGGCTGTAATTTATACATCTGGCAAGAAGCCAGGTCATTTGTGAGGTTGTCACTGCTTCTTGGCATGGACCCTGACCTCTTTGTAAAGTGTGGACTACAAGTCTGCTGCTAGGACAGGAGGACAGGGCAATCTTTGTTCAAGAGAGAAAAACTCATAAGGTTGCCTGGAATGCTAGCTTTGGGAGCTTATTTAGTTTTTATTTGCTTATTTTAGTTCAGTTCAAGTCCTAAGTGTGCCCCTTAAACCAGGTGTCAGGACCCAAGATGTCAGAGCTATGTAGACCCTGGAACAAATTAAGCTTAAAAGCAATGCTGGGAACTGAGTAAGAAAGTCAAACAATTTAATATTTGTGAACTGTGGCTACAGAGCCAGACATGCACAGTATTTAAGAATGTTAACCTGTCATTTCAGCAGTAAGTATCAAAGGAAAAGCCACAGTTCCTCCTAAAGAATCCTCGTGTTCTCAGCCCAGGCAAAGGAAATAGTTCTCTCTGGAACTTCCTACTAAGAACTTCACTTACCCTACTGGAAAATATTCATTACACATTTTGTTTCTGAACTTAATCTCCCTTTTTGTGTATCATGCGGGTAGTGGCAAACATGTGTATGCAGTGTATCTATGTGAGTATGTGTGCAGGCCTCAGGTCATTATTAGGTGTTGACAAGAATTTACAGAAGTGACTACAGGTTGACTATGAGTAAAAGTCAGAGTGAAAAGTAGAAAAGAGTCATACCTATGGAAGACACCATGGTGAGACTTGAAGATTAGTAGAACATCCTAAGAAGATTAGTAGAGTAGTGAAGACCCAGAGCAGGATGTAACCCCTCTGGTGAGAACTTCCAGATGGGAGTAGCCATGCTGGGTTGATAGGAAAGTAGTCCAGATACAGCACAACTGGACAGTGCACTATTGTAAAGACCAAGGTTTTCACATGCCAAGTTACAGAATCATAACCAACCAACAAACAAACATCTTCTAGAGTGTGCAGAGCACTCTAGAACTTGCCTGAGATTTCAATCAGGATCAGAGGAAGGAGAATGTTTAGAAAGGAAAGTGCCAAGGTTGAGGAGATGGGATAACATTGCCTAATGGTCCTATCTAATCTACCATATCCACTCATTTCTAGATTTAGGGAGTATTGGTTGATTAAAGATACATACTCAGAACACACAATCCAGCCACTATGTAGAGCATTCATGAGACAGAAAGAAGGAAACGTCTTGGGAGAGTGAAGGATTATTTATTTTCATCAATAATCTGGATGACAAATGCTGGACATGTGGAGTCAGGTCCTTTAAAAAGAAGTGAAGGCGCTTGAGATAGGAATACAAATGAGAAGATTGATAATGATTCAGTAATAGTGTTAGCATGTGCTTAGTGAGCAAACAT